ATCAACAGAAAAATAGAAGACACCAAAATGCTGAAGTTAGATTCTTCTTCTTGAACTTCTCCGCTAGCAATTTCTGTATCCTTGGTGACAGTTCCAGCTAATTGTGGAAGTTCTGGTCTTTGTTTTCACTTTGAATGAGGATGCTTTGATAAGTGGGAAGTGTGCCTCGTGCAACTTTTTTCTCCGAAGCATTTCTTGTTTGGTTCCCTTCTCAGTCCTTCAGTACAGGTTTACCCTGAAAGAGGAACCTTTTTTCCCTAGGAGCCCTTTGACTTTAAGTGGCCAGCAATTGCCAAAATAACCGTTTAGTTGTGTCAAACCTTCCTGAGTGCATTCATTTCTCTTTAGTACTGAGTAACTAATGTTTTCATGAAAAGTGGAAAAGCACAGCTACAGGTAAAATATAGAATTCAAGGATCAGGTGGGAAGCCACCCTTTTGATTACTGTCTGAATAGGGCTGATGCCATTATTGATTTCCCTGTAGAAACCAGCCTCCAACGTTCTTTTCTTATCAAGTTAGTTGATACTGATTGAGCAAATGATTGGAAAAGTCAAGGCTGTTATTTTTATGACAATTTTGAATTTCTTCAGTTTAGCCGTCTCAACTAGCCAAGCTGCTTCCTCTCGGTTGGGGAGAGAGGAGTCTGTTTTCTGTATTGCAGTGTCAAGTTAGTCCTTCCTTTGGGTATATATATTTTTACAGCTGGATTGGAAGGGTGCATTGTATTTATAAAATCGTAACGATCAATCAAAGCAAAAACCAGGATCCATCCCACAGATTACCTAGGAATCTCAAATTCAGGAAGCAAGAAACTAACGAATCAGGGACAAGAACAGGCCAAAGACATCATCATGAGGCAACAGCATAGGAAGTGTATGTGGAAGAAGTTAAAAGAATTTTGAGAGAAGACGAGTTGATATTTGTGCAGCCCTTTGAAGATCAGAAGTGTTAAGTATTAAGTGTATCAAGGAGTGGCAGAGGAGCGGTGGGCACTTGGCCCATGGGAGATGGGAGTCTCTTTTAAGCATGAGCAGCTATCATTCACAGTCGCAAAGCTGAGTATAAGG